CCCCCACCCCAAAACCCCCTTTTAAGTTAATGTGACATTTGGTTTATGGAATTGCATGAATAATAATCAGAAGTGTTCATCCAACTTCTGATTTTTTCTTTGCAAAACATAGAAGGAAATGCATATTTGTCATCCTACAATTAGTGTTTCTTTGTTGTCTTTTCCCTTTCTTGAAGTGGACGTTAACGTCGTGTGATTTACAAGAATGACCTTGGAGGAGGTCGGTGTCTGAACTTTTGACCTCGCGGACAAAACTTCAAGTCTTGAAGTTTTGCCCGCGCCAAGGTCATTGAGGTGTAATTTATTGGTAAACGACACATAAAAGAATACTTGAGCCTAGAATCTATTAGAAACAACCTCTCTATCTTTATGAGGTAAGGGTAAGGTCTGTATATGTTCTACCCTCTCGAGACCTCACTTGTGGAATAATACAAAAGACATGTTTCTTCAATAAACAACATTTCTTCATAAAAAGGAAAAGAACCTAGTCTACCAATTGAAGTAAAATTCCAAATCTCAAATTCATTTTCAAGAAAGGCATAAAAGATTGCAACATAAAGTAGTATATATAATAAGGTCCTAATGAACCTAAAGTTTAACAACTTAATTGTCTTTCTTTGTATTATTTCTCTCAAAAAAAAAATTCCAATCTTGATTAAATTAATCTTTGTTAAATGGAAAATATGAGATTCAAAGTTGAAACTGTGACAAGTAGTAAATTAAAAGGAACAACATGGGAAGATGTTGATGTTGGTGATATTGCTATGATTTCTATTTCTTATGGTAGAACAGTTAGCCATCTCCAATTTTTATATGTCAAAGATGGAAAATTTTCTCCATCAGTGAGACATGGTGATCTTATAGAAAATCTTGAAATTGTAAGTTTCACTTTTATACGTTTCGTATCGTGTCTTCTTTACTACCGTATTTTCTTTTCCAAAAATGTGTCAATGGTCCGACAGTCTTTCTACCTCCGTGAGGTAGGAATAAAGTTTGCATACCCCATGACCCATATCATGGGATTTACTTAGCATGTTGTTGTTATTGTTGTTGTTGTACGTGTCAATGGTCTATCTGCTCCACGAGGTAAGGGTAAGACGTGAGTGCATTCTATTACCCTCCTCAGATTCCACGTTGTAGGATTCACTTGGTATGTTGTTCTAATTTCTTATGTTTTGTTGAAGCAAAACTATTTTGTATAAAATGAGTGACTTAATTGCTTTTTGTACTAATGAATCTTACATAAACTAAGGTATATATGAAATTGTCAATTGAATAATCACAAATTTGTTTGCTCCAATGGAAATTTTATTCTTCATTAAACATGTTTTGCCTTTGATTTAAATTGACTCTCAAAAAAAAAAAAGTCTGTTGTTACATTATGATTTCATTATCTATGATTGAGTCGTAGTTTTTTTTAAATAGGACATACGCTACGTCTCAATCAAGTTTGTTTTGGTATCCTTTTTAGTTGCTCAAGAAAAATTAGGAGATTTATATAAGAGATACATGATTCATTCTACTATTGATTAGTAATGTATCAACAATGTTCAGCAAGTTTGTTTTGGTATCTTTTTTAGTTGCTCGAGAAAAATTAGGAGATTTATATAAGAGATACATGATTCATTCTACTATTGATTAGTAATGTATCAACAATGTTCATCGAGAATTCAGATAGTCGATAACAACTCACTTAAAACTCAATCATAATTTTTATTGATACATGATTTTTACTCTTGATACAATAACATGTCTTGGTCCATTTAAGGATCATACCAACATTCTTAGGTTAATTTCACGTGTTGTCACTAAATTGTTTTATTAGTAAAAATACGAAATTATTTCTCAAGTCACTAAATCCACAATAGATACATAATCTTACTTTTCATACAATAACATGTCTGGTATGTAAGTTGATGTCACATGTGGTCATCGAACTTTACCCGTTATATAAGTAGAGTCACAAAACTATCTTTTGTATCATTAAAATCACTAAACTTTACCTGTTATATACAAAACTAACCTCAAACATTTAATTTTATCTAACATTTTTTTTTAAAGAATTTTCAGATCAAGCTGGATTATCCAACAGAATATTTGATTGGAATAAATGGTCGACATGGATTAGTTGGAACAGATAGAATTTTGAAATCAATTACATTTGTGACAAATAAAAATTCATATGGACCATTTCCAAAAAATAAACCTACTTATTTGGTAAGTGAAGACACAGACTTTAATATAAATGCATTGGATTATGGTTGGCTCAATGGATTTCATGGCACAATTTATGGTAATCAACTTGAAAGTTTTGGAGTTTACATTAAACCAATGCCAATTATTGCAACTCCAAAAAAAGATATTGATTATGAAAATATTGATGTAATTGAGGGTTGAATGTGCAATTTGTAAAAGTTCATGTATGTACTTGTTATATAAATAATATAAAGATCTGTCGAGGTTCATGAAAAAAAGATATTTACTTTTCATGTCAAGTCAAGAGCTTTAGCACAATGTACTTTGTATGTGTAGACGAGTTTGAATGGGAGAAGAATAAAGCAGTATATCTTTTATGTTGATTGAACAGATTCGCACACTCTAAACAACCCCACACAAGCATCAATGGTTATTCTACGACTCAAATTTGTACCCTATTGATCATACAAAGAGAACTTCAACTAAGGGTGTGTTCAGTACAAAGAAGAAAAAATAAGTGAATTTTTTTACTTATTTTCATGTTCGATACATTAGCAAAATACATTATCCTAAAAACGTTCGTATGTTCCAGACAAATACTATCGAAGGTGGGAGTGAAGGTAGAGAATGTGGGGTGGCGAGGATGTACTGTGTAGGCTTCAAGTGGGAAGGTGGTGGTGGTGAAAATAAGGTATTGAATAGCGCAGATGACACAATCAATATGAAACTTGTTTCCCTTATTTCCGTTTTCCTCATTTTTAAAGGATTTTGTTTTCGTACCGAAAATGTTTTTAAGCCAACCGAACATGAAAATATTTTCCTTCGTACCGAACACACACCATAAATCAAGTGAAGCAACCCAAACTAAGCAAAGCCCCTCCTTATTCAAGACAAGTAAGAGTAACACCTAAAAAGACCAGGAAAAAGGAGCAACACACTAAAAGTGGAAAAATAAGTCCATCTAGAAAACATTTTTCAAAATATTTAAGCCAATCGAACATGAAAAAATTGGAAACAGAAAATGTTTTCCTCCGTACCGAACGCACCGAAAGTGGAAGATTAGGGGAAATGACTATTCAATCTTCTACATTTGATTACTAAGAAAGAAAGAATCAATTGTCTAATTTATAGACAACATCAAAGTGTAGAGGGAAAGCTGAAAATTGTGAAGTTAAATAGAAGGCTTTCCAGGAGGAGGAGTTGACTAGCAAAGCTGTGTCACTGACTAAACAGGACGCATAGCACAAAACCACTGAACTAGATGTTATTCTTTGGTTCATACCAAAGATGTTCTTTATTTCTTTTCTTCACTAAGTTAATGTGACATTTGGTTTATGGAATTTGCATGAAAAATAATCAGAAGTGTTCATCCAACTTCTGAATTTTTCTTTGCAAAACATAGAAGGAAATGCATATTTGTCATCCTACAAATAGTGTTTCTTTGTTTTCTTTTCCCTTTCTTGAAGTAGACGTTAACGTAGTGTGATTTACAAGAATGACCTTGGAGGTGGTTGGTGTCTGAACTTTTGACCACGCGGACAAAACTTCTAATCTTGAAGTTTTGCCCGCGCCAAGGTCATTGAGGTGTAATTTATTGGTAAACGACACATAAAATAATACTTGACCCTAGAATCTATCAGAAACAACCTCTCTATCTTTATGAGGTAAGGGTAAGGTCTATATATGTTCTACCCTCCTTCCGAGACCTCACTTGTAGAATAATACAAAAGACATGTTTCTTCAATAAACAACATTTCTTCATAAAAAGGATAAGAACCTAGTCTACCAATTGAAGTAAAATTCCAAATCTCAAATTCATTTTCAAGAAAGGCATAAAAGATTGCAACATAAAGTAGTATATATAATAAGGTCCTAATGGACCTAAAGACTCACAACTTAATTGTTTTTCTTTGTTTTATTTCTCACAATATTTTTTTTTCCAATCTTGATTAAATTAATCTTTGTTAAATGGAAAATATGAGATTCAAAGTTGAAACTGTGACAAGTAGTAAATTAAAAGGAACAACATGGGAAGATGTTGATGTTGGTGATATTGCTATGATTTCTATTTCTTATGGTAGAACAGTTAGCCATCTCCAATTTTTATATGTCAAAGATGGAAAATTTTCTCCATCAGTGAGACATGGTGATCTTATAGAAAATCTTGAAATTGTAAGTTCCCCTTTAATATGTTTCGTGTCGTGTCTTCTTTACTGCTGTATTTTCTTTTTCAAAAATGTTTTACT